TTCTCAAATACCCATTGCGGTTTTTTCACTTATCGATATTCGAGCATTTCACAGTGAAATAGATTTTACAGCGAAATAGAAATTTTTTACGACTGCGCGTATATGCCTTCTAACGAAATTGTGTTGCGATTGTGGCTTTCAATCAGAAAAGCTGCAATCGATTTGGTGTTGCAAAAAGAAAGGAAGGGCAATTGTACGGTTTTGAATGGTTTCGTAGTGAAACAATTAAAAAATGGAAAGTAAAAAGGCCAAATTTTCAATCGTATCCTTTGCCTAACGATTTACTAATATATTCTACAAATACAAACATAGCTATGTTCGATTTTTTTTTCGTTATGAAATTTTGTGTTATAACGGATTTTTCTGTTACATTGAACCAAATTCACAACTTTGTTAGATTTTACCGTTCAATATTTTAAATTTATACCCTTACATCAGTTGTTGGCAAAATATTTAGTTTATATAGTTTTGTTTAGCTAACGGTTTTTATGTGTCAAAGAATTTTAAAACATCAAAAAGAATCAAACTTTTTAGAAAACCACAGACTGAGAGCTTGATTGGTATATAAATAGCACAGTCTTAGTTTCGAACTCTCTTCCGACCAATAGAACTTATCGGTCACTTGAAGCTCTCTCCATTTTTCTAAACGCCACAAATAGGAGGAAAAGCTGGACCAAACATTCAGAATCCCTCTTACATAGTACATATGTATATTTTTATGGAGAGATATGTTTTAAGATGTACTGTGCGAATTTAAGACGCTAGATCGGTTTTAAGTGGAGACTACTGGTCATCTTTCAGATCTTCGTCTTTTTGAACTTCAAACACTTTTTTCCTGCAAAGAGAATCGATAAAAGTTATTTTGTATGCCATATTCTAAAGAGAGCCCGAGCTTTTCTTTACCAGATAGTACAAAATGCCGGTTACCGGTAGTACTAGCAAATAAAAAATTAATTATTTGATCCGCTGACATAGTTTTACTGAATTCGGATTGGCTCATCCTGACTTTCGTAGCTTTTACAACTCACTCCTCCTATTTTACGCGATTCGAATGTTGTTGAACCTCAAAAAAATATTGTACTTGTGTGTTTGTTTCTTCAAATTGTAGGAAGTGCTGAACCAAGCGTCTATAATATCTTCTATATACTGATTTATATATTGTATATTCTTATGAAGATACTGATTATATATATTTTTATGAAGAGAGCTGGTTTAAGGTGTTCTGAGCAACGTTGGACCGTTTGTGAGTGGATACCACAAGTCTTTTATAAATACAATGCCTTTCAGGATCCCGTAAAGTCTTTCAGACCTTTGTCTTTTCGAACTTTTGACACTATTCCCCTACCAACAGCATCCATAAAAATTATATTTATGCCATATTTTCAAAGAAGTCCAAAGCTTCTTAACCTCACTCCTCCAAATCTCGCCATTCAAATGTTTTCGGAACTTGGGTCAAGTTGTAGTTGTGTGCTGTTGCTTCAACTTTCAAGTGCCTTTGCTTTTTAAAAAATTCATTGAACCCTTTTACAATTTTTTAAACTTTTTACAATCCTTTCTTGACCTAAGTATTTTAAATTGCGGTTCCAGCCTGACCTCAATCTCTCCTTATCACGCTCGTTATTTATTTTTGAATTTCTAATATTTTAGACGCGTTGTTCTCAAAGCTATTGCAATTCTATTCCAACTCGCTGAGAGCAATTTCCCAGTACTCCCCGCTTCACGCATTCCTATACTAATTTAAACAAGCTCGCTTCGATTGCGTTTCTATGAACTACATACATATACATATAGGTATGCACATAGAGTTCTGTGCCACACTATTTTGTATGCTTTTTTCCCAAACATTTTCAATAACCGTTTTTTTAATTTTCAATTTGCGGCCTTTTGGCTCTTTGCACACTCGTTTGCATTTCGTTGAACCAGTTTTTTGCATATTCAATTGCGTTTGTGGTCTCCGCTGTTGTGGCATAGATGTGCTATTTTGTTGTTGTTTCACTCGTTTTTTGTGTACAGACATTTTGCGGCTTTTGTGCAATTGACGTGCTGATAATTAGTAATTCCTGGTCATACACGTAACAGCATGCCCCCGGCTCCTGTGACTGCCCAGCTTTTGCTTGCTTTTCGATTGTCTTTGGCTACACACGGCCGATTGTCTGTCTGTCCGTCTGTCTAACTGTCAATGAGTTGCAGTCTGTTGCTATTTTGAATGTACTATCGCCCTGTTTGCATTTGTTCGGAATTCTATGCATAGGTGTTTACATATGTGTGTGCGATTCCATAACGGTTTGTATATGGCTTGAGCCTGTGTTTTTTATACTGATGTATCGCTAACGGCTTTATCAGTTTTTTGTGCGCAATAAGCGATTTGTAATCTACAAGTGCCTTGTACCTTTAGTTAAAGTTCACGATTTTTTTAAGGGATGAATTTCTTGACTGTGAAGTGCGTAAATTGCTATTTTTGCAAAACACAGTTACTCAAAGGTGCGTACGATTGTTTTACTAATTTCTTGCTTGCTTATTATACTTACATAGCAATCCCCAAGAACCAGATGAAAAGAAGAATATTTGGCTTAAGTGAATCCAAGTAAGTATCAATTTCAATAATAAGGATCTGCGAAAGGTGCAGCGGAGAATAATCACAATTTCTCGAGATATAATTGTTTAAAGACGTTTCGCTGCCCCGGGATTTGGATCGGACGGAGTATAACCCACTGAAACACAGCTCAAAATAAACTCTTTAACCGTAGATTAATTTGAAACTTGTCGCCAATGCCGGTCCACATAACCCAAAGGTGCCTAGAATTCAAGAAGCCAAGAACTTTCCAGTCTGCAATATTCCTTAAATTAGTTTGTGGAATGTTTTCTACAAAGTAGTAGTGTAAGCACTATCTCGATTGTCCAGGAGCTAAATATTGTACAGAAAATCGTTTGTAACTATTTAAATAAAGTTGAGTACAAAAACAACCATGATTTAACGCAAAAAACCAAATTTCCATCTGCGAATCGCTGCTGAATCACAACAAAATTGATTAATTCCTAAAGGGGATGGTTGCTGCTCACGCCAAAGTCAAGCGAAAACGTTCGTGGTCGAATCGCAATTGCCGTTCGCAAACGGTGGCCAAGCCAGAATTAATGGTCAGAAAAGTTTTGCTATGTGGTTGGTGGGATTGGTAACGTATCATCTACTATGAGCTGCTCCGTTACGATAAGACTCTTAATTCGTTCCTGCGCTGTAAAAAATTAAACCGTCTGAAAGAAGCTATCGCCCAGGAGCGGCCAGCTGTGGCCAATAGCTGAAAGATTGTGTACCATCAGTTTCACCAGAAGCTTCGGATGCTTGGTTGGGCTGTTCTTTGCATTCACTTATGGTTCTTGTCTATAGCTATTGATTTTGCTGGGGCATGATTCGATTAGAGAAGTTTGTGAAATCGACTGTCCCAGTTTTTCGCCAATAGGAACGAGGAATGCCAGTGGCATTATGAAATTACTTACGAAATCGCATTATCGGTGCATGTTTGGCCTAAAAAAATTCCTAAACTTTATGCATATAGTGGATTCTTTTTTATTAGACCCTATATTTTAGACAGAATATTTCAGATAAAAAAAAGAGGAGCAGATAATAGCATGTATCAAGTTCCCTACATAAAATAGGGATATGAAAGTTGCAGTTACAGTTGACAACCTGAGACGACATAGCTGAATCCATTAGAAGATATCTTAGAACCTCAAGCAACTACTATGAAATATATTTTCATTTTGTCTTACTTATTTGATCAAGCCTTTTGTTATTAGTTTCGAGAAAAACCTATAGCTCTAGGCGAAATCTTTTCCGTCCTTCTTTTATTAATAATATTATTACATTCTTTTTGAAGAAGAAGCTCTTCTAAGTATGTCAAGTTTTTGTTTCGGAAAAATTGAACGATGACAACATATGATAAGTATGCTCTTGGATAGCAGGTTCGCTCATTTTGTCGATTTAGTGGCAACGAAGAATCTATGAGACAATCGTCTGCATAGTTCGTAGCCTTTTTAACAGAGTTAAATAATAATATTAATCATAACTTGGCATAGGGTAGTAAATGCTAACGGATTATATTATAGACTGGAACCCTATCGTAGTACATTTTTCGATTTTGTATTATTATTGTGCTAATTAATACATTGGACATAAAGGTAAACGTGTACATGACACTACCCGACATATACCTATTTTTTGTCTAGACTTATGGTAATAAGTAAGACCGTTGAGCTTTATAGTAGTAATGAACAAAAGAGAAGTATCGATTTTTTTGGCTAAGCTGAAAAAAATTATAAAATTTTCTACTCGTTATATAATTTTTTGTCATATGTCAACAGTAGTTGTTTATTGAATTTTCAATTAACGAAACGTATGTAACACCTCTCAAACTCCAAACTCTTTTGATAAATTATTTTATGCTTACGGTAATTTCAGACCTAATCAATGATAAATATTTACTACAATCTCTACCACGTTACTATCTATTTATAACCTTGTAGACCTTTAAAACTCTAAAAATATTTTGTCAAAAAATTTCAAAATATCCAAAAATTGTTTCAGCGCAGTTTAAAACCGATAGATGACAGTAGACAATTAAACAAAAAAAAATTCTATTTACTACTGTTGTATTCAGTATTATACAGATTGGTTAAAAAGTAAGTTGGTCTCACCAAGAAATAGCACTACTAGCTCCAACTTTTTTTTTTCTCTCAAGTTGCTACATTTGTCACATGCAAAGTTACAAGTCATTTTGTAAATTAATTGTTTGTTTACAAGCCATTTGATGTGACGAGTATTTTTTTAAATTGAAAAAAATTGTATATCGCGCTGTGATTAGATTCTTTGTTTTGAAAGGCTTAAAAGCAAAAGAAATTTATGAACAATTGTTAAAAGTGTATAAGGATTCCTCACCTTCAAAATGTACTAGGCTTGAAGACGATCCACGCGAAGGACCAAAAACCGCCACGACACCAGAAATCATTGAGCAAGTTCATAATATTGTTAGTGAAGAGCAAAGTTTGACTAAGCGTGCAATTGCTAATGCCATGGGCATCCCAGACGAACGGGTACTTTCTATTTTATTATATATATATATATTTATATTCAGAAAGAAAAAACAATCAACTCTGAATATTATTGCAGGCTTTTCGATCAGCTGGATAGAAAAATTCGTGAGAAAAGATCTGGCTTGCAGCATAAAATAAACAATTTTCAACAAGAGAATGCACCTGCTCCCAAAGGTGTTATAACAATGACAAAATTCAACAAATTAAAGTACGAATTGCTTGAGCATCCACCATATTCACCAGTTTTGGCTCTCAGCGGCTACTACCTCTTCAGAAACCTGAAACAGTTCTTTCGCGGAGGTGTTTTTCGTTGAATGAAGAAGCTATTACAGCCATAGACGGTTATTTTGCAGAGCTTCCGGAAAGTCATTATATGGGGGATTAAATTATTATTGGTATTATAATTATCATTGAAGTAAGCGTATTGAAGTTAAGTGAGATTGTATTGAATTAAAAAATATATTACGTATCAAAAACAGTATTTTTTAATTTCGAGCGCAGAAACTTTTCAACCAACCTGTACAACTCATGCTACGAAGTAATGGGACAAATCTCATAAATTAAATGAACTATTTAATTCAGATAAAGCTGAGACATGGAAAAGCAAAATATTATATATTTCTTTGAATATTTCAATGCATCCTAACTTGGTCCTCAAATTATTTTACATAATCTGCGGCGTAACTGTATAGATACTTTTGATAAGAGTATAATGACGCTAAAATTGCGTCATAAACAATTTATGATCTCTTGCCAACAGCTCAATTATTTATTCAAAATTTATTTAGTTTTTCGCTTTTGAAATATTGTTCCAAAATTCAATAAAAGATGAAAGAGCCTTTAGCTTGGTGATAGTACGCCGACAACCCTTCTGACAACTTAACTAAGCGTAATGTGTAATCACTGCGGCTGATTATATGATAACAGATTCAGAAAAAAAATGAAATTTTCAAAAGAACTAAGAAATTAGATGTTTTCTCCACAAAGTTAATTTGCTTGTTTACTTAAATTTCTTTACAAAACACTCCATAAGGGACAACAAATAATGCTATGACAGAAAGCAACTAAACAACAACAACAATGAACATCAACAACCTCACGTAAGTGGAGAGGAGGCCAGGTACCAATATATTGAGTGTAAAAATGCATAAACCGTAAAATGGATTAAATTTCGTTTAAAATGCAAATTGAAAAATAAAAGCGACAACAACAACACGTCAAGGCGGCAGCTAGCTGGAGCTAACGGTAAGTTAGGTGTAGTGTGGCAAGACGCTGTAGGAAAACATCAAAAGTTTACACAAAAAACACCTCATCAAAACATCAAAGAAAATCAATTTCTTGTTTTTCTTATGGCACTTTTTGCTCTCCTCATCGCATCTCTGCTCAGCACAAAATCAAATGACTGAATGTAGAGCAGAGTTAGTGTGCTCATGTAGTAGATTGTAACATGCTTAAGTGAGATATGAGGGGCAGATAAAATGGATAAAGTGCTTTTTGATAAGACGTTGGCAACACCTTGCGAAGTGGCTATTGCTTTGGGTGGCGGCAAAAGAGGACGCTGGTGGAAAAAAAAATCAAAAGAAGTGCGCAAAAACACTGCACACGCTGAGTTTATTTTATTTTTATTTTTTAGCTCTCACATTTTTTCTTAGGAAAATCCCAAATAAAATTGATGTACCCCGACCACACTGCGACAGCTGCATAGCGAAATGTGACAGCAGCGACAACAGCAACAACAACAAAACAACCACAAATTTCGTGAATAATAGAAAAGTGAAAATCTCAAATCTGCGATAAGGCCTGCTAAGGTGTTTCAAAACGCACACACTAAAAAGCAAAGTCGAAAAAATTTCAAAAAAAATACATTTAGACGAGAAAAAAGTTGAGTTGAAGAAGATTGAGTTGGTAGTGTATAAATTTGCGACCAACTGTGTGCATTAGAGCAAACCTTATAGGAAAATTTAGCCATTTATAAGTGGGCGCAAAAAATATTCCAAATATATTATTTGTTTTTTACTCTTGCATTGTATAAGAAATTATTTTACCAGGTCGAGTATAGGTCAATACTTGTAGGCAAATGTCATATTTTTAGGTTAACTTAAAATGTGATATTTCCCAAAACTACTTTTCTATAGATATACTTTTCTATACTTCTAATAATTAGGGCATTTGGTCACAATATTATTATCTGCAGTTCACAAGAAAAGAATAATGGCGATAAGTATTCCTTTTTGTTTGGATGGTTTTAAACTGTGGATTTATATTTCACTCTGTTGGGGTAGAAAGAAATTTGCATCGCCAACCTTTTGAAAGTGGATACAAGACAATTCTATCTAATAGTGGAAGATAAAGAGTGCAGGATCGATTTCAGCTTAAAAAGTAAGATCTTTCACTTTCAGTACAACCGAGTGTACCAGCTTCAAGTTAAAAAAAAATCGTCACGGTTCTTTTGTAATATTTAAAAGGCTGAACAATGCTGAACATTGCTTTGAGAACCTTTTGAATGTATCTGCAAACCTTTAATTGGATATAGTATAGTAATAAATGTATTCAAAGAGCGACGAGCTCCTCATACAATGAAAAAAAATATATATATCAATATTTAAAATAAGTGAAATAAACTGATCTAACAGATGTCTTTTTTATACGTGTGGTTTTCAATAAGGCAATACTTTTTTCAGAGTTGATGTTTTGGACAACTATTACTTGATTTACACTCAGTATTCGGTAAAATCGTCCAGCAGAGTCGCTAATTCGAGTAATCATGGATTGGTTTCGAACCACGTTTACTCTAATAGATAGTGGGCATTCACTGAACGACTTTTTTTTTCAGCAAAGATAAGTCCGAAATGACTGACGCCCTGCAAAAGAATATTCGGCACCTTATTGCTGACATACGGCCCCCATTACTGCAAAACGATCTCTTGCCCGAAATCATTTTCTAAAATATGATGGCAAACCCTTACCTTTATAATAACATTTAATTATATACCATCTATTTCTTTTTAAAAAACCACATGTTTAAAAAAAAACACCTTTTACTGTACTGAGCTGCACCAATCTTGGAAATCACTTTTTTCAAGAGGACTTTAAGGGACTACGTTGATTGTAGGAGCCCATACTCATTGCAATAATAACGGAAAAATTGTCTGTGAAGCCTACGATTAAAAATTCAAGGGTATACGTGCGATAGTCTCAGAGTATTATCGTTTCACGATTTGAAAACTGCAGTTTCTAGATGTAGAAGTTTCTCGTGCCAAAACTGACGGACTCGAATGCTTCGACACTACAGGGGATTGGATAGTAAACGACATTTGTTTTTACTATTCTAAAAATTGCATAATGTGTATAGAAACCGTAAATTGTACTTAAAGTAAAAAAAATTGTTTTTGAATTTCTGAAAATCATATCCCCTTAGAGCAACAAGGAAACAATCTATGTGAGTAACTGACTATTTGGAAACTTTTGACCCAGATTTAGTGACTGATGCATATTTGTCCAAGTGTATTGTGTTCTGTGTTTCTTAAAATTCAACCTATTATACCAGAGAATATAGAGAGTTACAAGAGATGAACTATATCCCTTGTTTTGTTTGTTTTAGATCACAGTCCTATCGTAAAACAGTCTCAATTTCATTCAGATAAATTTTTATACCAGATTTTTCTTCAATTTTGTTTGTAAGTTCTTTTTTCCAATATTTTAATTTAAGAATTTTTGAAGTAGACTTATTATATGTAGAGAGAAAAACAGCTAGAGAAACTAAGGGCATATATTTACAGAAAAAAATGTGGAAAACGGTTGGCCTCAAGGGCCATCCCTGCAACTTCCCGCTAATTTCATACGCTAACGTTCAAATTTCGCTTTTTTCACTGCTTTTGAGCTCTTCCAAATTTTTCGTTTTCGATATCTCGCAAGTAAATCAACCGATTTCGACCCGGTTTGCGGCAAACGACGTGTTTCTTCAAGGTTTAGAACTGATTAGTTTTTGGTATCGATCGGTAAAGTTGTTTGGAAAAAATTCGAAAAAAACGATTTTTCAAAATTTTTATTTTTGAGATTTCTTGAAATCTACTGGTCCGATTGGGTCCAAACTCACACGAAACTCAAGTGCAATGAAACCCTTTGGAATGTCATTTAGTTTATTCAAATCGGTTGAGCCGTTTAAAAGTTTAAGAGGGTCACATACATCCACACACACACACATACATCCACACATACATACAGACATACGGACATCATCGTAGAAATGTTCGGGGAAGCTTCCTCGACCCTCAGAACATCGAGATCTGTTGAGAACTCGATTTTTGCAAAATGGGGTGAAACCAATATCTTCCCGATTTTTAGAAAATTTTCAATTTTCTTAGCGGGAAGTTAAAAAAAACTTTTCTCAGTAATTTTATCTTAAAACTGATCTTCAATCCTTTGATTTGACAAAATCACTGACATTTTTTGTTTTTTGTTATACTGAGCTTTTCAAATTACTGGAATTCTAGTCCCTACTGCTACTAGTTCTAAACTAGTTGTTGGCTGCAGTAGTCTTTATATTTCTCGCTGGGTATATCGGAAAATAAAGACATATCACCCAAGTACTTATGGTAGATAGTGTTTGGATGTAGTGCAAGCACATAAAAACACCGAGCCACCACAATGCACACCTCGTCCGCCGAGCTTAATGCTGTGTTTATCAAATGCTGCTGCTCCAGATTAGTGCAAACTGTGCGACAAACTTGCGCGTCTTACCCTCGAAAGGGTAGTTGTTGAGTGGGGTGTAAATGTTGACAACTGTTACCAAACTACAAAGCGAAAAAAATACATTATTTACAATACAAATAACTGTAAAACGCACTGACGGATGGGGTAAAGAATAACGCGGAAATTAAATCCATTTAAGTGTTTAAACGCAATGCTTTGGTAATGGCGATTGCGGTTGTGAGGCAATAGGCGGGAATTGGTCTTGGAGAATACAGTGAGATTTAGGTAAACACTTTGGTCTACTCAAACAATTTTTGATTTTGTTTGGGAATATTATTGATGTCTAATTTGAAAAGCTTCAAGAAAGATCGAAAAAAGTGAGCTTAGTTGCTTGCAACAGATTCCAGGTCTCTGTACTAGAGGTGAAAACCAACAGTTTTTACCTTAACTCCTAATGATCAGTAATTTCAAGCATTTCATTATTCTATAAAAACTCCAAAATAATTTTAAAAATTTCAAATTCAAACCAACAAACTTCTCCTCGTTTGTCATTACAAATGTGTCACATTGCCATTGAACTGCATAGTAAATAAAATTTCAAGTACACTTTGAACATAACATACAAATTGAAATTGATTTATTTTTTAAACTATTGAAATATTTAAGAAAAACACCAACAACCAAAGAACGAAGTTTTTCAAAGAAAAGACGCGCAGCGAAACAAATAAAAACAGCGACAATGACCTCGCAAGCATCATCAGAGTGCGACGGGCCATCGTCCGGACCATTTGACGGGTACATAACACGTAATAGTGACTATCAAATCCCGGCCGATATTCAAGATAAGATAAATGCTTTACGTTTTTTACTCGAAACCGATCTCATCGCGTGTGACGCCAAATGGACACTCTTTGTGGCAGCTGCGCTGAGCTATCGCTACGACACGCAGCTGAAGCCATTTCCGCCACGTTTTGTCTCCACCGATGCGGGACTCGATATTGATGCGCTCATTTCGGTCATCAATGATACACCGAAACTGCGTGTGGTGTTGCAGAATATTGTCGAGGAGAATTACGATGAAATCGATGCGGACGTTTTAGATCTGCTGCATCATGTGCTGGTCGTGCAACGCGAACCGATGTTACATCTGGTCGAAGATAATGATTTCGATGTGATTCTAAGTAATATGGAACAAAGTGAGCAAATACCGAGACCGACACACGTCTTTCGGGTTTGTAATGTGCCGATTATACACGAGGCCATACAAGAGGAGCCAACGTACAAGGAAGGCGATCATCCGCCGAAATTAGCATTTCATGGCAATCGTCTTGACTGCTTTTTTGCTATGCTGACGCAGGTGGGCGCTTGCAAACAGCAACCACCGAACACAGAAAATGCCGGCGACGAGCTAGATGTGCCACTCAAGTTGACCACGGATTTGCAAGTCGCTTTGCAGCATAGTCCAAATGGCGCCGGTTGGGGTGCATCCAGCTGTGGTTCGATGATCTCCTGTGTGGCGATTTGTGAATTCGAAAATCATCCCGAATATGTATTCGGCGATACTGCCAGTTCAATAATCGAAGTACGCAAGCCGGATTTGGTACGCATACGCTATTTGCTCTTCTATGGCAGCCGTTTTCCCGATGAAGAAGAGCCAGAAGAGAAGCGTCCAGCTAGCTGGTTGGGCCGCAATAAGTATTCGCTCTCACTGGCATGCTATATGTTGTTGTTGGCATCGATTGGTGTGGCCAACAGTGGCAGTGGGCAATACTGGAAGCAGGTGGTGAGCAAGAAGGCGCATTTATTGCTGGACTTCTGTAGGCGCATTTTTACGCCCGAGTAAGGGAAACCAGAACGCGGGTTGTAATTTCAAATGTACATAGATAACAGAACGAGGCGTTTGGTAAAATTTGTTATTTATACCTTATATATATTTCTGTTTATGTGCAACGAATATTCGTAGTAATAAATTAAAATAAATCAACAATATTTAAAAACTCACGGTTATTCTTATTAATTAAGGTTAATATTTTAAAATATTAAAATTTGTAAATAAAATTACATTATATATATGCCAAGCTCTTACGAACTTATGTAATGTCGTAAACAAAATTTTTCTATGTTTTTCATATTCGGAATATTCAAAGTTATTAAGTCGAACAGTTACCAAAACCAAGAGGTATTTGATCCACTGATTAGTCTCATTTATGACTGAAATTAAATAAGTAATCCGATCGAAAGGAGTCTGCGTCGCAAAATTGTCGACTGATTGAATTAGTCTTTAAGTAATGTCTTTGTACATAATATTGTTACAACTGTTGGCCGTTTTTTCATTGCGAAACATTTACAGAGAAATTCAAATATATATACATATAAATATACAAATATCAATGATTGATCCCTGGTACCGATGGTAGATATATAATATTTATTAATTTTTCCTAAAATTACTAATGCCGCCTTGAATTTCTTTATTATGGGTGTTGGGGAATCGGAAGTAAAACTGAAATAGTCATTTTGCAGAGAAGTTCGTATTAAAGGGATTTTATAGTATAGAAATGTGAACAAATTCATATTTGCGAAGGTTAGCCTTTCAGGAATAGGTCCGCAAGAGGATTAGCAAAATTTCCAGAGATATGACTATCTCAGTAACATGCCACCCCAACCGATTGAGCTGCTTGACATTGGGCTTAATTTAATCCAAAAGAGTTCTCTATATATTTAACTATCGTATTAACTATGAAACAAACAAATAATTTTACAATTTTTAAAAATTTCAGAAAAATCAATATATTGTAAAAATTATATAATTTTTACGGACATCCGCAATATAGCGGAACATAGATAGCAGCAGTTATATAGATAAATAGTCTTTATGCCCTGAACAGGGTATATTAAGTTTACCAAGATGTTTGGAACACGTAGAAGGAAACGTCGGAGACCCTATAAAAGGCTATACATAGATATAATCATATATAATATATTCAGCATATAGCTGCCATACAAACTGAATGTTCCAAAAACAAGTTATTCTATCCCTATCCTTTGTAATTGTGAAGAATGTTATAGCATCGGTTGTTTCAGATCTTGGAAAGTTGCAATCATAACAGACTTGACTCGCTATTTGTACCAACCCCCACTTCTATACGTTTTGATTTTGTGCGTGAAAACATTTTTTTATGAGACCCTAAAAATAATATCTCCAAATAATTTCTTTGAGACCAGAATACCATTGTTCTTATTACGAAATCAATTTTTACATACAACAGTTTTTTGACTTCTTTCTACTGAGCTGATGTTATGAGATATTGATTTTTTATATTTTATGTCAATAAAATACGATCCACACAACGTTATCCAATTCATTTACCAAAATTTATACAAACAAATTTTTACTGGCGAAAAGTTGGGTTAAGTTGGAATTTTTTTAATATTATATAAAAAAATATTTAGGGCATATACTGAAGGGAAATTTTGTTTTTTGATATTACAATATAATTCTTCAAGTTATAAGTGATTTCTTACTAAGATAATATTTATGAATTAAACTAATACTTTAGATCAAAACAAAAAAAAATTATTTTTAAATAATCCAGATAGTGAAAAAGTAAATAGTTCTATAGCAGATTTAACTTTAAGAAAGTAAAAATATTCAAAAAAAAATTTATGATAATAAAATAGCAAATTAAAAAAAATCATCATGAAGCTAGTTTAATCATTATACAAGCATATTTCACACTATCTCACGTAGACAAATAAGCAAACTGTAAATATATATAAAATTTTAAAAATACAAATCTACAAATAACATACGATAAGATATAAAGTTTTGTGTACAAAAATCACGTAATGACACACTTTTCTGGTGGAAATCTGCATTGCAGAAAGGTATATTGTTTAGAAAAATGTCTACTTTTCCACAATATAATAAATGTTTCAGCACAGCAGTGATTCGAAATGATGTTTAAGTGTAATAAAACTAAATTAGACATAGAATGTACGTACTTACATATATGTAACTGGAGTGTACAACACCAATGTCAAAGTTCGAATCTTCACATATTGTTTCAAAGGCTACAAAATATTTGAAAATTCGTGTTTTGGTCATATAAAGAATTCATTCAAAATAAAGAATTTTAACAAATTGGGTTACTCCATGTATATTATAAAAAAAAAGTATTTATTTGACTCACCCCATATTTCAGTCTCATTGACGAGTATAAACATTTAAATACTAGCTACTCTCACTCTCACTTCCTGCCTATGCAGCTAAGCTAAGCTGCGCAATCCACAAAACTTTGCAATTTGATTTTTGCCTAGAAAACACTTTACACTACACTTATGTCACCTAAGAAAAATGCATATAAACACTCTTAAATTAAACACAAAACACTATTTGCCACTTTTAAAACTAACATTTTTAATGTTCACAATATATCACACGCACAGCGAGGTAAGTGTAACCGAAATTGTTGCCAACTGAAATAGCAGTAACTAGCGGAACTTCCATACAAATGTTTTTACAGGAATGGGATATTCCAGTTAACTGGAAATTGGCAACTTAATGAATTTCAGTATTCTCCCACTCGCTGAGTAGATAACAAACGCTAAAAAGTATGCAACAAAGCATGGCGGAATAAAGCATCGGTGTATTTATAGGGGGAAAAATTAGGTGATTGCTCGTAAATATGTAAATATAGGAATGCAAAAGCAAAAATAGCGACTTTATTATTATACACACATATATATGCATATATTGAAACACGTTAATTTGAAAATTTCATATTCAAAAAATTTCTGTGCTTTTAAAGTTCTTAAAACTCCAAGACTATTATTGTACTATGTATAATATGTGTACATGAGTATAAAGTCTATTGACATAATAACGTTATCTAAAGAAATGTGAAATCGTGACAGCTGATTCTTATATGACTATTCCCGTAGCATACTTTTGTACGCTGACTATCTCCATAGTGACAAATATTTAGCTTAGTTCATTAAGATGCCTACTTCCAACGGATGGGAACGTCTTCCATGGGAATTTCCGTCACATAATTTCTTCGCTCGCCGGCGTTATTTCAGAACAAGTTTTATATGCTAAAAACTTTTGCGCAATTTGAACATTATTAATAGTAATTAAAGTTGGTTGTTTAAGTGATAAAAAGTGTAGCAAATTATACCAATATGTTGGTATCTTGTGGAAGACATTTTATGAGTGAAAATTAAAGAATGATGCTGTAACGCAATCTTTTTGTATTATTCAATGAGTGTTGGCATACATACATATAGCACATGTTATATATGCGTATATATATAGTATGTATAATACGTAAATACACAGCTGTGTGAGCGGGTGAGTCGTATGATATATTGTACATATTTATATATACATATTCTAACGACTGAATTATTTTATTTTATTTTAAATAAGTAAATACTTTTTGAATAATGAGGCAATAAATAGTTTTCGTAATTCTTAGTTTCTATATGATTTCAGAATATTACGCTCATTAATTAAAACACTAAAATATTAAGTAGATTTTGTGCGCTTTGAGTTTTGTAACCATAAAACAGTTGACCAAATTTAAATAATTTTGGAAGGGGAAGTCAAAGAATAAAGTAATCTTATAGTATTCCAATATTATTTTTTTCAGATGTGAATGTCTTTCATAAATTTATAATTAATTATATTTTGTCTTAATTTCTTAGAAACCACCATTTCGTCGATGGGCGTAATCGGCCCACTACTACGTCCACAAAACACAATTAATAGAAAACTTTTAAATTGCCATAACTAAGCATAAATTAAAGATGAAATTTTGCACCGAAACTCTCTGTAGCAAGGGTCACCTGTGAGCTAAAAATTATAAAAAAATATTAGCGTAGACCGGCCCTTTAGAAGGTTTAATGTACATATCTCCTAAACCATTCAAGATAAAATAACCAAATTAGATCAGGATAAATCCCTTAAGCACTTCTATAAACTTTGTTAAAATTGGACAATGGGCGTGGCACCGCCCCCATTTAGGTGAAATTACATATCTCCAGACCTTTTCCACCAACTTCAAAGAAATTCAAAACGTAGTATTATTTTGACAAAATGGGCGAAGTAGGACAGTAACCACACCTACCACCCATATAACACAACTTTAAATTCCATATGATTTCTTCACTTTTCAGTATACAAATGAAACACTAATTAATATATCGGATTAAAAAATTGCACGAACATTACCTTTAACGTAAATGGTCTAAAAATTGTCAAAATCGGAGCACAACTATTCAAGCCCCCAGATACCGGAAAAGTGCCCCCAGAGCCTATGTCTGACTTTTTGCCTCAAATATCGGCCAATCTGTGAGATATATAATTGAAATTCGGGACAAATGTCTTTTTGATAATAATATACGCTTGTGTCAAAAATGGGTTGAGTCGGATTAATATTTTCCTTAGCCCCCATATACCTAAAAAAAAAAGATTTTCGAACTTCCAGTTGACTTTATATCTGGTTATTTTAAGGGAATTGAGAAACAGTGTTTTTCTAATAACAGTGTATCTTTTCAAGATTCGTGGATTAAATCGGACGAAAATTTGCCTTAACCCCTATATAACTAATATTCACGTTTTTGAAACGTTCGGCTGACTTTACTTTATATATATGTTTATATGTATATATTTATAAAATTGCTAGAAAATAAGTTCACAAGTATACCTAAGCAATGTCAAAAATTTGGGCAATCGGCCCTTTCATTTCTATACCCTCATTGATTTTAGTATGATTTTCGCTGACGGGAAGTAAAATATAATAATAAAGCTAAGGGAGGCTATTATATTCAAAATAAGTTAATATGATACCAAATTTGATAGTACGCCATCCACGATTTCGTCGAATAGTCTAGTTGAACCTTTTTTCCAGATTTTTGAATAAAACCAACACCTGAAGGTAGTTAGCTGTCCTTGCAAGTTGCAAGAGTATGTTATGTTCGGTTACAACCGAGTTTAG